TGTTGACTTTGAAAATAGCAGTAAGGATGGTGATAAGTGATTTCGTGTTTCTCATTGTCGTCGTCTTATGACCTAGCTGTTAGTTTCAAAGTCTTTCTACGAGTAGCTGTGGTTGAAACCGATGTTAGTGTGTGGAAACCTCAGGGGCTAGTAGCCGGTCTTTTAGATGTAAAAGTCTTAGTGTAAGGAGGGAGTGTGCAGATTCCTTAGGGGTATTTGAAAACGTTTTCTRTTTTTGAAAGGAAAAAGGATTTTGAAAGAGAAAGTTTTTATCATTTCAAACTTGGTTTATAGTGACTAAGCTTACAAAGGCAATAGAATGGTAAGCTTTGACATCTTTTCCCTGAGACAATTTATGATTGAACATCTCGGTTGCTTTTGCTTTACCTTGTCCATGTGTTAGAAAGCTGATTAAAGTTGCTAAGTTTTGCTTGAGGACAAGCAAAAAGTTAAGTTTAGGGGTGTGATTACGCTTGTTTACATGCGTAAAAAGAAGGTTTTATATGCTGTTTTTACTATGCTTTAGCTTTGTTTCGGATTTTTCTCGGTCGTTTGAGTTCCAATTCATGCAAAATTTATATACGATGGTTTGTGGTTGGCTTATATTATATTTATGACATTTTAGGACCATTTGGGAGTGGAAATTAATCAAAAGAAGCAAAAAGTCAGAAATACCAACATAGGAGGCGCCAGGTGTCACAACCATACTAGTAGAGAGTAGGTTGTGACGCCCACGTAGTGTGCAAGTGTCAGCGACAAGCATATGTCGCCCATCGGGCCATGTCAAGGGCCGATAGTGAAGTGCCGTGATGCGACCAAGGAGGATGGTGCATCACCTATCACACCATATGGATGTGCTCAAGAATGCCTAGAGAAGGCATATGCAGAATGCAAAGCGAAGGCGACGTCAGTGGTGTCGGTGACAAGCTCAACGGGGGCCAGTTGGGGCCCCGGGCCACGACCCTAGAAGTTGTGGTTCCGTCAAGAGTTTGGACGAGCGGCTTTAAAGTTAGATGCATATTAGTGAGATATGTAAGCACGCCAAGTTTCGTGTCAATCGGAGTTCAAACGTGCACTCTACGTTGGCGAGTGACTCCTCGCCACTTTCGACGTTCATGCCTGCCAAGTCAAGTTTGCCTTAGAATGTACCTTAGGGGGAGGCATGGTGTTGGCTGTCCACCACCCCTGGGCCATGTCAGGGCCTAAGTGAGCCACCCCATGGCACATGCGTGTGTCATGGCGAGGGCGAGCGTCTACAAGACGAGTGTCTTGGGCGACTTCCGTCGAGGATAGAAAACTCGAGGACAGTGTCGGGCGGCACGGGTGTGCCGGCATTGCGCCTCGGTCCATGTGTCGGAGGTTGCACCACGGGGGTCCCTATGCGGTACGGTATGCTCAAACGACACGGCACGAGCGCAAGAGTCGTCGTGCCACGATAGTGTCCGGATGGCTGGATGTCCGGA